AATACAATACGAAACAGATGCAATATAAAAGCAAAATACAATATAAATACATAAAAGCATAATATATCTATCTAGTTATCAGCGATAGTTTGATCAGTGAAATCTGAAATTTCAAGATGGGCTAAGTCGTTTATAGGATCGTGGTGTTCATTAAAATTAATTTCCTTTTCTTTCCCTTTTAGAGATGCCTCATAAAGTTTGCAAAGATGTTCTAGTGTTCAAAAAATTCGAGACCAGTGTCCTTTAGTACCGCATCTATAATAAGAATTTTCATGATTCTGGGAAGAACTTCATTTAGCATCCTTTTCTTTATCATGATGCTTCTTTTGAATTATAACTATCTGTGAAGGGTTATAATAACCACTTCAACCACGTCTTCAACCACGGCACGACCATGTCCACTACCACGTCTAGGATTTTGCCCCCATCCTAAGTGTTTAGAGAATGCAACATTTGCTTCTGGAAAATAGTGTTGAATTAGTGGGACGAATGTCACGCCCTGAAGCCGGGTTCGGTGATGTGGAGGCTCGATTAAGAGTAATAATCAAAATCTAAAAGTAAAGTATCAAGTAAATTCCTAAATAAGCCTCTGTTTCGTTGAAAATATATTACAAGGAAGAGGTCTAAACTCGAACCTCAACGTCACTCAGGGCTTTACTCACAGGATATGCAGTATTGTATATACATTAACATGTAAAAAACATTACAGACATCAACCACAGTCTAGAAATCTAAAGTTCAGAGTTTACAATCCTTACATCTGTACACCAGGAGGATGAACACAATCCTCTCTTAATTGAACAGTAGCAATCTCACTCAACTACTCCGCACTGCTTCTAGAGTCACCTGGGAGGGGTTAATATTTATAAAACACTAAAATGTGAGCGAAAGGCCCAGTAGGATATATTTTGAAATAACTTTATAAACAAATAAATAAATGAGTAAACAAGTGACTAAATAAATAAATAAATAAATAAGACATTCAGTTCCAACACAACAGCCGGAACCTCACATCCTTTTTCTGAAAGGAATATAACTGAAAATCTCCATATTACAGGCATCAGCAAGTAATTTATACTATGATAAATTACTTACACAACCACGTGCACAAGCCTATCAACCCCAGGCCGGGTTTCGGGTTCTGCCCCCAAGGATGCACTCTCCACATGCCATCAGCCGGTTTACCGATTCGCAAGATCTCTTGTCTTAAGAAATCATTCATTAAACTTTATGAAACAGTTCATTATAATTCCAATAGCTAAAATCAAGCTATGGTTGTTAAACATGTTTTTTCTTTCGCAAACATGCCCTTTTTTTAAAACAATTGCAAGGCCAAAACTCTTTTAAAATCAGGCTACCAAAGAGAGGCGTAAGGAATCCTACCTCTCAAATATCAAACCTGGCTAGCGTTGCACTATTCCGGCTTTCGCTTGCTCAAAGCCCTTCAATCCAAGTCCTCAGCTAGCACTGATACAAAACCAGACTTTAGGATCCAATTCTCATTCCTAAAGCAAACCAGTCTCAATTATATCCTTTGATTTCCTATTAGTGTGCCATAATTCAATTACCGGTTTCATAAACCATTTCATGTTTCAAATCATCATTCCAAGGGTTTTTAATCTCAAAACATGGATTAAAGATGCTAATCCATTCATTCTAGGTCTTCAAATGAAGCTAATTTGGGTTCTCTTTGAAAACCAAGGTCAAAACATGGTTTTTTAACAAAACAGGGTCAAACCCTGTGTACACCAGTCAACCGGTGACAGAGCAGTGCAACACCAGTGGTCGACCGGTGGTGTGCACTTCGGTCGACCGTACAAGTTGACCTGTTGTAATGAAATCCGGTCGACCGGATGGGGCGACCGGTGGGATCAGCAGGGCGAGGAAAACTCGTCAAAATCAGTCCAAAAACCTGCAATTTCAGTTCCAATTTGAAATATCTCAAGGGGAAACCACTAGATCCAGGTTCTAAGTACTAAATCAAGTCCAAAGAACCCAAGATCTCCAATTTCTACCATGGTTTTACTCAAAATCCATTTCGAACCAAAATAAGTTTTTAAATCCGAAAAACTTGAGATTCAATAGAGGTTTTCAAAAATCTTACCTCAAATCCTTCTCTTGACATTGAAAACTTCTTGAAATTTTCCTTTGGTTCAAAATCCGGGTTGATTTAGTGAAGATTTTGAACGGGAGAGAGAGAGTGTGTGTGTGTGTGTGTGTGAGAACGATAGTGGGAGTGAGAGAGAGAGAGTTGCACGAGCAAGGAAGGAAAAGGAAAGAAAAGAAAAAGGAAAAGAAAAAAGGAAAACAAGTGTCTAAATATTTAAAGACAGTCCAAAAAACGTGCCCACACACACTATTGGGTAAAAATGTAAATACTGAGAATATTATAATACATTGGAATTATTTAAATTTACATGTCAGAAACATTTAATATCCAATAATTAATTAATTAATTAAACCAGATTAGGCACACTAATAAATCTCAATTTCTTTAATTAATCTTGTTTAATTCTTCAGGGTGTTACAACGAGACTGATGAGTTTTAATCAACAATTCATTATTTTTTTTCTACATCAAGAAGAGCTGAGATTACCTCATAAAATTTCTTATAACCGCGCAAACGGTATTGTTGTTGCAAGGTAACGTGAGATGCATGGAAAGTGGAGTGTGTTTTCTCTAGCATTTCAGCTTCTATGACATTTACTCCATAGAATTTTAATTGTGAAACAATTCTGAACATAATAGAGTTATATTCATTGACTTTCTTAAAATCCTGGAAATGTAAATTGTTTCATTCATCACGAGTGGCAAGGAGTACGACTTCTTTCTGGCGGTCGTATCTTTCCTTTAAATTCTTCCAAAGGACAAGTAGATCTTTAACTGTGAGATATTCACATTTTAAGCCTTCATCAAGATGTTTACGAAGGAAAATCATTGCTTTCATTTTTTTTTATAGTGACTTGGAACTATTTTCTTTAATTGTATCGGTTAAACCCATTGACTCTAGATGTATTTCTACATCTATGATCCAAGACATATAATTCTTTCCCGTGAAGTCAAGTGCAACGAACTTAAGTTTGGCAAGAATTGACATGGTGATATCTTTAATAGAATATTGATATAATAAGAATCATGGTATTATTATTATTACATATATGGTACAATTAAAATTACATGTTAATCATAATAGCAAAAAAAAAGGGAAAATATTACAAATATGAGTATTGTAAGGAAAAACTGAAAATCGTGTGGAGAATGATCTCCAATTAAAAGAGCAAAAATATAGAAAATAACTATTAAGATAACAAACATCATCATCATATTCGCCATATCGTGAATTTTTTTTATACAAAATGTCTATGATGGAGAAGATAAAATATTAAGAAGAGTGAAGAGAAGATGGGAAGATAAAAATATTACGAAGGGTGAAGAGAAGATGTGAAGTGAATTCTATGGGTTAAGAAAAACTACATTTTATAGCGTAAAAACTAGCCGTTAATAGCCGTTAGAAGTGGTGTAGAACTCTGTTAGAAGTGGTGTAAAAATCTATTATATTACCGTTGAAAGTGGAAGAAAAATTATAATTGTATATCTCAAATGATATAGAAAAATAAACATATTAAGAATAGTAATATACATGCAGAAAGTGTAATGAGAAATTATTACTGCAGGCGGCATAGCCGTCCGTTTATGAGAATACAAACACACCAAACTACTCGGTAAACCTTTCGAATGGTGTATAATGACAAAATTATAAAAATTATAATATGTTGGTGACATAGCCCTCTTTTGTATGAATATAAAATAATATAATATATTTACATACATTTCACTTGAATTAATAACGGTAGAAACTTATAGTAGGACTAGAGTTAGGACCTACTTTCTTTTGACTTTTAAGATAGATACTTGTAATCGGATAAGAGTTTTTTTTTTTTTTTGAATTAATGAATGTAGACAATTGCAGTGGAAATATAACGTTCGTACTGATAACATATTATAAAAATTAAGAAATATAAAATTGATAGAAAAATTTTAAAAAGATAAAATGATAGATGAAATTTCTAATTACTACTGATATAAAAGTGTATATTTCCAAAATACAAAACATCATACTCATAATGAAATTTAAATTTACTATGCATTACTATTTATCAACGCGATTTTATGCGTTGCACCACATGCTGTCAGAAGGTAAGTGGACAATCCGCAATAAAAGCTGTAATGCTTGACTTTTTCAACAGTTTTGACTTTTTGGCCTCTTGTTTTTTACGTTTCCACTTTGGGAAAATATTTTTACTTTTCTTTTAGGACAAGTAATATGAACTTTTGCCCCAAGACAATAACACAGATGTTAAGGATTATTTGTAGTTATACTGTTATTTTACAAAGACTTTCTTTTCAGCGTATTTCTACCAAAAAAAAAAAAAACCTTATTAGTGACTTGCATTGCAAGCCCCTTAAATACAATATGATGATACCTCGAGAGAATTGGAGGGATACCCGAGTTGATATTCGAATATATGAAAAAATTTGAGTCTAATTTAGATATAAAAGTGATATGGATCAATAACTAGACTTCATATATAGTAATGAACCTAAGTTTCACATCATTCTAGTGTGAACTCCAACGAACCTCTATGCAAACAAGAACCCAATTTCATTCGTGGTCGAGCTCAGGCTCCTCTTCGCGCAAACTCAAGCTCAATTCCATTGCAAATATACCCCAATTAAATATTTAAAATGTATAACTATATCCTTGTTCAATAAAAAAAAATATTGTTCCTGAAAAATAAATAAATAAATAACCCCGCGACTGCAAACAAAAACCCTTGAAAAACCCTTTGCGGAGGTGGCAACACAAGTAAATTCCTAGGTAGCAGAGTTCATATAAAGAGAAATTTTCATAATTCCAGTTCCAACAAATCCACTATACGCATGATGTTTGAAGGACACGAAAACTGCAAGCATAAAACGGCAAGCGTAATGTGCCCAAATTTATAAGAGCATGGAGAAAGTACTCCCCAAGTTATGCATTCATCAATCATATTAATAATACAAGTAAACAAAAGTGTGAATACCACCCATTTATAACGAGGGTACAACATGAATTTCACACCCAACATATCATCCTAGCGCTTCAACTGTCAAAGATATAAAGGCGAATCAGAAACAAGAGGATGATACGGAAATAAACAGTCACCCTAAAACTAAAAAAAAAAAAAACAAAATCAAAGAAAAAAAAGGTTACTTTAATTTAAGTCAAACTACAAGCTATGCCAAATAAACTTCTGTTGCTAGTTGGTTAGGTTATGCTCCTTGTGAGCAGTAGCAGGAAACAGGGTTACCAAGATCTAATGCCTGCCGTGCCACTTATGTTTGCCCCGTTTGTTGAGGGTCATTGTTCAAGTGCTGATCGTTCCTGTCAGATCTCAGATCATCCTGTCCAGGAACTTCCCCGAGCCTCTCCTGCAGAAGAGGAATTTAGGAAATAAGCAACAGTTTAATGCAAGCACTAAGGAGGAAGGGGTAAAGAATGTTATTCCTGCTACACGATAGGGCTCAAGACAAAAGTAAGGGATTTCCTTTTCTTGGGATTTTCCCTGTTAAGTTTTGGAATGATGCAGAACTTGACAAACATCCCCAAAGAGCCCTAATTGATATGTACCCGGCATTAGGGTTCCCTAAGTGTCAAACTTACAGATGGTGAATTGTTATGTTACATGGATATGGGCTATAGTGTTCACCGCAAACCAAACAGAAGCAGCGGTAATGCAGATACCTCGTATAAACTAAAAACTTTCTATCAATAGTTAGATGGGGTAGGCATAATTAGAGCACAAATTCACGTCACCTCAGCCAGTTGATATCCAAAACAAAAAATATGGTCAAAATAATACTTTTACTCTATATACTGTTTCCTCGTCGGTTATTGGTTCTGAGTAGAGGGGGAAGGATTGATCAAAACCTATCATGTTTTTGGTTGGGTAATGCACCTTTATGTTTTTGGCAGGACAAAGCAGACTTGCAGATCACCACGGTACTAATGAAAAAGTGTAGTTTGCTCCATGTGCTCTGGTGCGTTCACTGCGAAGGGGTAATTTACAATCTTTGAACCGCACAGGGTGATGAAAACAATTCGAAAATATTAACCAAGTAGGATTTTTATATTCTTTAGCTGTGGAATAGAACAATCTTTTTTTTTTGTTTTGGTGATTTGGAATTGAACAATCAGTGCTCTGAGAAGTTGTGCCTGATTTGTTGTGTTCTTTATCCTGGCTTGTTGCATTATTTAGCTGGAAAGAAATGAGAGGACTTCTGAAGATTTGAGATGAAGAATCTCTTTCAGGAAAGGGTGCAGAGATTTTTCTAGGATTTTTGCAAGTTTTTATTTTTTTTTTTTTTTTTTGCGGGGGGGGTGGGTCTGTGTAGAGCATTTTTGACTTCCAAGAAATTTAAGGGCCGTCGCAGGTTCGATCACATTTCAAACCTTTTTGCTGCAGTGCTTTCTCTCACGAAAATTTAAATTTTTGTTCAAAGCTTCTAGTTCAAAGGGCCGCCACAGATTCGAAGCACATATCGAACCTTTTTGCTGCAGTGTTTTCTCTCGTGAAAATTTAAATTTTTGTTCAAACTTTCTAGTGCAAACCTTTGAACCAAACCATACGTTAAAAATTCTTCTTTTATTGATCCTGTTGACTTGGAAAGATTGCTTGTAGTTTTGGTTATTTTCTGCTTTTTATTAATAAGGATTTCTTGCTCTCTTTCTTTTCCTCTTCTAATTACCTAAGTTGCCTGCTTCTTATCTCTTTTTTTTTTTTATTTTTTTTTAAAAAAACCCCCTTACTGACGATGAAATTAATGGCAAAGAAAAGTTGTTTGCTTCTTATCAGAGAGACCAAAAAATAAGAAAAAAAATAAAAATCCAAGATTAGAACATCACCTTGAGAGAAGCATTTTCTGAAAGAAGCTGCTCATACTCACTCCTGATCCGGCTAACCTCTGATCTAAGATTGGCATTTTCGTCTTTTAAGGCTTCCGCTCGCTGAGCCAGCTCATCACATTCCGCCTACTCAAAAGTGATGCATACAACCAATCAATTCATTTCAAGACTTGAGATGAAAAACAACCGCACAACCAATTACCTGCTTGCGCAATCTAGAGCGACGAGCAGATTCTCTATTCGACTGCTTCCTTCTCTGTCTTTTAAGCTCTCTTTCATCCTGAATCCAGATAAACAATGGGCAAAACAATTTAAGCACGTAGTAACAAGAGAGAAGAAAATCTACAAACGAGAACTACTATGGTGAATGCTCATTCCAATCCTATTAAGCCCCACAAAAGCCCTAAATGAGATAATACCTGGTAACTAGGGGAAAATATTATCTGTATTAGAGAAAACGGTCAAAAGGTGGAACCAGAATATTACAAGCTAGTAAGAGGCAAGCCGACAGGAAGAACATGAGAGAATGAAAGGAAAATTTGTGCCGCTTATTGACCAAGCAATTACCCACACACACGACAGAACACAACGAAAAATATTGCAAAAATTGTCCGACAAATTGATTACACCAGAGTTGGTGCACCCTGAATAAATACTTTAATGAAGAACACTACGGTAGCCATGAAATGTTTAGAACAAGACACCAAAAATATGAAAACTAAGCCTCAAAATGAACAAAGTGACATCTGATATATCGGGCCCAAATCTTAACCTAAACTCTTCATTGGATTCTCAAGTCATATAATATCCAGCCTACAAGGTTACAACTTTCACTTTATCCAAAGTGATACCAATTGGACCTATTAATCAGGTTAACATACAAAATGTTGCAAGCATCCATGTATTCCAATTCATGTGTCTGCACACGCATATGCGTAATTAAGAACCTATAACCTGTAACCCCATTTCAAAAAAAAATTTTAGAAGTAGATAAATAACCTGTAACCAAAGCTGTGACTGAACACTATCACGAGAGCCAGCAGTGACTATTCCTCCAGCAACTGGAGTAGAAGGAACATTCCCACGCAATGCAGGAATGGTGGATGCAGCTGGCGTCCCCCAGTAGTCCATACCAATATTTAAATTCGTTGCAGGACCAGGAGCACCAGCTGCTGTTATTGGAATCATGGCCATTGTTTGATTAACCATTGTATGAGGTGTACTTGGTCCTCCATTCTGAGGACCATGCACAGAATTTCCATTCTGGGATGCATCACCTGCAATAAGAGAATAGACTTTGCTTATCCAGACAGAAGAAAGAGGGAGAGGGAGAGAGAGAGAGAGAATTCGAGATTAACATCTATCTTTGCATTCAAAATATAGCGCAAGAGAATAATGCAATCAAACCTTCTAAAGAATCTTGCCCACCCCCGGACTTGAGTTGTGAGTCCTACAAATGTAATGAAGCAAGATAGAAGCAGTAGTCGTGAATAATAACATATGCTCAATTCATTATAAGAACTTTTTAAAGGAAAATAGAAGTAGAGAAAAAGAAGAAAACCCTTAGTTACTAGCCAACTAAGACATCAATTAGCAAAAAGGTTTAATACATTGATCTAGACTAGGAAAAATGTTTAAAACAAATGGAAAAGAAAATCAAAGCTATAATTAAGAGTCATTTTCAGGGGAAATAAGTGAAAAGTATCATTGAAAACATAAATAAATAAACAAGCATGAACCTTTTCCTGCTCATACATAACAAGCAAGCCATATAGCAGCTTGCACTTTCTTAACCTTTCGCCCCCATCACATGGTAATAGTTACTCACTGTTGCATAAATATACACATGATGAAAATGACTAAACATGATATACATAGGTCACTCCACACACAAGCTATCTTGTACCTCCTTTCCTTCCTATGATATCTAAATTCCATAGTTAATCACAATAACTAGGACAAAAAGAAGCCACTTTCAATGAATAAATATTGAATGTCTCGCTGCTTTAGACAGATACACCATAACATCCTGAGATATTTTCCAAAGTTCTAGCCAGAAGCGTATTAACTATTATAAAAGTTTGTAACCAGAAAGAACCATTATTGTATTACTGGTAGATGTAACGGACTCCAACCATTGAAGAAACAGAACCAAAATTAGTAGGCAACAATGTCCTCATGCATGCTAGCTAATATTCCGTTTTGACTTTTCTTTTTCTATGGGAATCATAAAGAGTCGCAAAAACAAAGCAGAAACCTCAATTCAAATAATGCAGCATGGACAACAATTCCCATCTTTCCGTGGGCTTGATATAAATAACCTCGCTGCCCACACAACAAGAAAGTTCTAGAGGATCTAATAAAACAATCAACTGCAGTAGGCATTACACTTACATCCTGCGAGTTCTCATCACTTCCTTCACTTGTACCTTCACTTGCACTCTCAGCACTGCATATTCAGGTTCTTTCAAGTATTAGCTAAAGTAACTTCACTGGCAAATTCAACATAAACTTGGGAAAAAACATGCACCACTTCAACTATATACAATTTTGATACAATGAAGGGACCATTCCAACTGGAAAAAGACTTAGTTAGATGAACATTTTCGTAAAAAGATATTTTCACGAGCATAAGTTTTAAACTAAAGAAAGAGAAGTGTAACTTCACATCTAGTTTTTTCTTCTACGCTAGTAAAGTCAATTACTCCACCCCCAATTCCCACTTCCTTTCTTTGAAAGCATCCACAGTTTTACGCCCAAGCCTTCAAATAAATAAGTATGAATCCTTAATCCAGAGTCTACAGTAATAACACCATATACCACCACTGCCAAAGCATTCAACCACAACTCAGTAACAACTCAACATACCTTTTAGAGTAGACTCCATTAGTGGAGGTCCCTGATGTTTTACCAGCCTCATTATTCTTCCAGGCTATCATATTTAAACTTCCCAAGCTTCCTTTTGATCTTTTGATGGGCAACTTTTCCTTCACCTCAGATGGCCTGCCATCTGCTTCCATGCTGCCAGGTGTATTACCCTACAAGCAATTTTACAAGTTCATGTCACTAATGTGTTGCCTACTTCAGTCAAATGGACAAAGCCACATCAGGAACAAATTGTATGACAGTGCTTGCACTCACAGGCGCCTCGACCGCGATTCCATTTGGTGGTGGCATTGCAAAAGGACTAAAAGGATAAGACCCCTGTTTGAGAACGACAGATAAGTGTCACTGGCATCTAGAAAATGAAACTAAAAAAGAAACTTATTCGAAGCAAAACTAGATAATAGTGAAGAAGATATTTACTGGAGGTATAGATGGGTGAGCATATAAACCACCATGAGGATACATTGCAACATATGGATGTGGAGGGGTACCGTATGGAGGCATCATATGCTGCACTTACGTCATGTTAGAATACCAAGACTTATAAACAATTGATTAATTTAAACTTTGTTTACAAGAGTTGATGCTAGAAACAGCAACTAAACAAAACGTTTTAGTAGTGTTATTGAAACATTGTTCTAAATATTAAGTAAACACTTTAGGGTTTGATAATTATTCCTGTCGAGTTGAAGTATACAAGGTCATCACGAAAATCATCATAAAATTTTGTTTTTTGCAAAATCAAAATTAACTGTTTCAAAAAGTATATATATACATTAATTACCTGAACACCCCACATATATGGGTGAGCTTGTGGGCTTGATGCCAAGAACCCATGAGGAGGTATAGGAGAATATGCCTGTTAAACGACCATAAGCAACATAACAATCAAGGCACAACTGAAAACCCAAAAAACAATAGATGCCACAAATATAGGACTATAACTACTAAACCTGAAAACCCGACCAATCAGGATTTACAGCACCGGCACTAGTTGTCGAAGATTGTTCCTGAAGAACGCAAAAAAAAAAAAAAAAAAAAAAAAAAGA